ACTTTTTGAAATATACTACCTGTGTTTAGCTTCCATGTGTTGTTTCTTGGATGTGTTTAAAGCGTATGTTAAGGCAAAACAAATAGTACATCTATGGAATACATGTACATTTCCCCATGTTTTATGCCTTTTTAATATACTGAAAGTACAAGATTAAAACATATTGTGGCAAAAATCTATGTTCTACCTTCCTCTTTTACATGACAACACAGCTCTGAAATGCCGAAGCACATGTCAGCCCTGCCTACTTCATTTCTGATGGATTACAAAGAACACAGACCTCGCCTAATTTCTATAAACCCTCTATGAACAAGAATAGATCACAGGAATTTATCAGCTAACAAGATTCCTGGCAAAATCGGCAGTTAATTTTCGAGCAGATATAATAAAACACCATATATTCAACAGACCAAAAGAGAGCAAATAAGTTTGTTAGGGTTTAACACTGTAAAGCTTAATTATAGGGCGTGTATGAAAGACGCCTACTAATGCTGCTCTGTAATCATTATACATCTAAATAAGATTTTTTGTTGAGAGATGCAGGTCTTAGACCCGCCGATCGCCTATATGTGAAACACCCGGTAACGGGTGTGTGCATTTAGCGGGTCTTTTCTGCCCGTGCGTGCCCGCTAGGGGGCGCGCGCGAGCAGAAAAAAATTGCCGTCTGGAGACGGCAACCCGCAGATGCTGCAGTGCCGTCCGTCCGTTTTTTTACTACGGGCGGACGGCAAGAGGTTAAACAGTCTTTTTTATACTTCTGCCTACAGGAGGTTGGGACGCTGGCAAACAAACGCTAAGCCAGCCCTGTGTAACACCCTAGTCTATAACTGTCATGCTTCACATTTTGTGCACAAGCAGTACAAGAGCCAGTAACAATGAGAGGTGGGATCTGTGTCCCTCAGTGGACTTTAGGAAAAGTTTTATGTTCAGTACAAAATCTTAATTTCTTTGTTTTCCATTGAGGGACACGGATTTTAAAACGGTCCAACTGAGGTGTGGACAATAGCCACTAGAAGATCCAACAGATGTGGAGCTCATACTACAAGATATTTGAAGGACTCAAATATCATACAAGGACTTAATCCTTGTATGCAAAGTGTCCTACACTTAACAGACATTGCCCAAATGCGAGGATAGTTGAATTCTGTTTACTTACAATGCTTATATTTACAATGCTTATATTTTTTTTTCCAAGTTATTTTGATGAAACGTGTCAGCTGGAGGTTTATTCAGTTTGGTATTAATAGTGCTCAACAGCACTATGAGGTATCACCCTTAGTCCATGTAACCTCTTTTTACCACGTGGGTGAAGTTTCAAGATGTAAGCTCTATAAAAAGAAGATATTCATGATTACAATCTCTCTAGAATAGGAAGTTCGGCATTGAGGAAATAGATAAAGGAGAACTGAGGCGAGTGTTTGTTTGTTTTTTTTTTGTTTTTTCACTTATCCTCTATAGTTTGAGCCGGCCTGTGGCAATGAAACTGTCACACGTCTGCTCAATAGATCGGGAAGTGAGCGAACACATAGCGCCGTTCACTCACTTCTCGCTCATGTCCCTGCAGAGAGCAGTGAATGTTGGTCACGGCTCCCCGCAGGGATTCCTCCCCCTTCTCCCGATCCTCCAGCGCTGACTGGTGGGGTGCGGGTACAGCCGGCTCTGCCTCCTAGATAGGCAGAGCCAGCTGTCATTCACGCAGCTGGGTGGATCTCGACAGCCTTTTTGGGACCCGTCCCGGCTGCGGTAGTCTCAGTATACCGCGAGCTGTAGCTCACAATATACTGAGCTTTGGGTCACGGGAGGACGCTAGTATATGTCCTCACATGCCCCTAAAGAGAACCCTACCCCATAGTTCTCTTTTAATGAAGGAACAGAAGAGTGAAATACAGTTTAATGTTTCTGTAGTGGGGTGGTAAATGAATTGAGTGGCTTTCCAATTTGGAGATACCTGTGATCATTTATGGTGATTTTTCTTTTGGTGCACATGTGAAGAAAAGAGACATAGCACTTCATATCGTAGCGCTTTTTGTATAGGGAAGACACACTGAGCCCTGTAGTCCTGTGGACTATGATTTAAGGACTTTGATAATATAACTGAGCACTAGCACTTTATAGTACATTATTGTGGATTATTCAGTTTGTATAGGACTTGCTGAGCTTTATAGTCCTATGTAAGATGTGTATTGCCATTTGTTTAATAATAAAATATATATTTTGATAATGTGGGAATTTACAGGCTATGTTGACACATGTAGGTAATTTTACTAGGAGTGCAGCATGGTTTATATTAGGGATGCACCGATACCACTTTTTTAAGGCCGAGTACCGATACTTTTTTTCAAGTACTCACCGATACCAATTACCGATACTTTTTCTTAAAGGGACAGGTCACATTTTTTTCTAAAGCAATACAAAATCATGATTTTAGGTCAGTTTCTTAATATTATGAAGAACATGAACACTCTGTAGTGTGGCACAGCTATATCCAATTCTGCATACCTGGCTTTATATTATAAGAACTTTATAATATAAAGCCAGGTATGTAGAATTGGATACAGCTGTGCCACACTATACAATAATACACTGTTCTGGAGTCTGGACATGTGATCATCTATTTTCCCCACTATGGGGATACAAGCCTTAATTAGCAATGGCATGATAAATATTCATTTCATTATTCAATGTCTTTTCTTTTTATATTATAACATTTATAATATTAAAAAAAAGACATTGAATAATGAAATGAATATTTATCATGCCATTGCTAACTAAGGCTTGTATCCCCATAGTGGGGAAAATAGAT